CGCGGATTTCTCGGATCGGCGCTGGACCCCCTCCCTGGCGCGCGGAGCGCGCCAGGGGCGGCGCCGGATGCGCCGCCGGGGGGCCCCAGCGCCGATCCGAGAAATCCGCGCGGACCTCCGAGTTTTTATGTTCATGTCACTGCTTGTTCCCCTAATTATGCGTCGTTCGTTGTCGTCGTCGTCGTCGTCGTCGTCGTCGTCGTCGGGCTGGTGCCCTCCGAGGAGCCGCCCGCCAGCGGCCCGTGCGCGCCGCGCGGCCCCTCCGCCGGCGCGGCGCTCTGCTCCGGCCCCCGCTCGCCGGGCGGGCTCAGGAAGGCGAGCACCCTGCACGGGGGAGGCCGAAGAAAGGGCGACGAGCCGCGGTTCCCCGAACCCGGGTGTGGCTAGAGCTGCTCCCCGAACCTCGAAGCTCGAGACTGCACCCCCCGCCGGAGGAGGAGGAGGAGGAGGAGGAGGAGGTGGAGGAGGAGGAGGAGGAGGAGGAGGAGGAGGAGGAGGACTCGCCATCGCTCGGAAGTCCATTCCCTGTGTTTTTTTCGGTTTCGTGAGTGGTTGTTTTCGCCAAATGATCAAGGATGCTCCTCGATGGCCCTCGCCGAAGGGAAAAAGCACACGTCCGAGCGATGCCAAGGGGTGTGGCCAGAACTGCCCCTGGACCCCCAGGATTCTCGGGGTGGCCCAGACGGCCTCCAGGGCACCAGGAGGCCCAGATGGCCCCAGGTCCCCAGCGGCTCCAAATCTGCGAGCACCGAGGCAACACCGGACAGACTGCTCTCCAGAGTAAGACGAAGCCTGGCCGAGGAATTAGCCTGGCGAAGAACCCACACCATCTGCAATTGCGAGTACCGCAATTGTGGGTATCGTCTTCCTTTGGGGCCACGAAGCGCTGTTCTGGGCGGGGAACTGCAAATTCGGTGGGCCAGGAACGGCATGCGAACCCTGTTGCCGGGGCCCTCGGTGGAGCTCCCTTTGGGGCCACGAACCGTGTGAGGGGTGTGCCGAAATGGCCGCGAGGTGGGCGGGGAACCGCATGCGAACCCTGCTGCCAGGTCCCTCGGTGGAGCTCCCTATGGGGCCACGAACCGTGAGAGGGTGAGAGGGGTGTGCCGAAATGGACGCGCCGTGTGCGGGGAACCGCATGCGAACCCTGCCACGGGGGCCTTCGGTGGAGTTCCCTATGGGACCACGAACCGTGTGAAGGGTGTGCCGAAGTGGACGCGCGGTGGGCGGGGAACCGCATGCGAACCCTGCCACTGGGGCCTTCGGTGGAGCCCCCTATGGGGCCACGAACCGTGTGAGGGCGTGCAAAAATGGGCAGGAGAGGCAGGGATGGGATGGGAGGAGAAGCACGGATAGGAGATGAGGAGGGAGGGGGCAGCTGGAGAAGGAATGACGCGGGGTGCTGTCTCTTCAAAACGAAGACCCAACACCACGGGATGGTTGGGGAAAAAACGGGCGAGGATGATCGAAGATCTCTGAGATCCGGTGGCTCAGGAACATGTCTCGGGCGCCGCGGCCTTCTCAGAGGGTTCCAGAACGCTCTGAGCGTTCTGGAACGCTGTAGACAGATGTGTCCTCGTCCTGGCCCAATCCGAAACAGGGCAGAGATGGAGGCTCGGACATTGGCACCAACATCAGCTCAGGGGGTTGTCTCCGCCGGGGGAAGACGATCCTTGGCCCTGACGTGGGTAATGATATTGCGGCCACCGGAGAAGCCCGAATCTAACTACCATGACCGCAGGGAAAGCGAGCACCCTGCGGGCCGCGGGCAGAACTGAGAGGTACCGATAACCGGGGGCGGCGAAGAGGGGGCGTCCAAGGAGAATGTTCGCAAAACATGGCCCGAGGCGTTTTGCTGGATGGTCCTCGCCGCCGTCTAGAACGGTGCGCATTCAGGGCAGGAGCACAGCAAAGCCACAGGAAGGCGTGACATCGAGGCGGAGAGCTTGACAGATCCATCCAACAAAATGCTCCCCGGACCTAGGGCAGAAGAGCCAACCTCACAAGCGAAACCGCTTAGGAAACGCACCTACGGAAGGAGCGCGAGCACTCTGCGGGGAAACCAACATCTGAGAGCATGACGTCGCGTGTTTATTTGCAACGGTGACGTTCGCCTGGTTGAACGGGACTCGGGGCCCTCACATCTCGATCCGGCACAGAAAACCGACTCGTGTTTTTTTGTTGCGATGTTGCGATGTGTTCGCCGAGCTCGCATCTCATGGGTTACCCAATGTACCACTGCTCCCTGGACCTCTCTGGGAGAGCAGAACGGCCACCCTCAGAATGAGCATCCCGACAAGCCCAGCCGCTCAAGAAGCGCACCTATGAAAGGAAACGAACAGGGCAGGAAGCCCACGGTCGGGACTGTTTCAGCGCAAAGTGTGGGTGTTGGAGGGTTTTTTCCTCTGCGCCCTGACCAAGATCTCGAGGTAGATCCAGCCGTGACGACGAGAAGGCCTCCCTGGAGGCCCAAGAAGACGAACACGGGGCCAAGGAGAGCGGCATCCCCAGACACCCAACGCCGTCATGTGTTTGATGAAGTAGAACCAGCGGCCTGGGCCCCTTCCCCGGGACTAGCTCTTCATCCCACCTTGTCCTGTTGACAGCCTCGCGGCCTCTGGCCGTCGCTCGGACGTCCATTCCCCGTGTTTTTTTTGATTTCGTGCGTGTTTTTTCGCCAAATGAACAAGGATGCTCTTCGGTGGTCCTCGCCGAAGGAAAAATGCACACGTCCGAGCTGGCCAGGGCCCCACGAGGCTGAACATATAGAATTACCTCAGTGCGACCCTACCTAGACGTTGAAGCCCCTAGGAAAGCAGCATTAGTTGCTCTGCTCTGCTATGCTCTGCTATGCTACGCTGTGCTATGCTGTGCTGTGGAGTGCTGTGCTGCGCTATGCTATGCTATGCTATGCTGCGCTATGCCATGCTATGCTGGGCTATGCTATGATATGCTGTGCTGCGTTTTGCCATGCTACACTATGCTATGCTATGGTGTGTTCTGCTATGCTAAAGCTCAGCGAAGCTAAGCTGCAGGTAAGCTAAGCTAAGACAAACCTGAGCTAAGATGAAGCTAAGCTAAGCTAAGATGAAATAAGCTAAGCTAAGATGAGATATGCACCGCTAAGCTAAGGGGACGTAACTGGGGGAACCGCGGGGCGGATACTGGGGGAACCGCCCTGGGCGCTTTCCACTGCCCGGCCCCTTTAAGCCCAGAGAGTAAGAACCCTTCTAGGCAGAGCCTAGGTAGGGAAACACCCGCCGCCATGGTTTCCTCAGGCCCCCTGGATCGAGACCCCGTCCTCATCTGAGCTGCGGGTCAGCAAGCCCGTGCCCTGCGATGTGACGTCAAGATACATGGTAAGATCACACAGGAACTCAAACAATGGAGCCCCAGACCCCATCCTTCGGCTGCATCTGTCGTGCTGCATCGATATGTGAGGGTCTCGGGGGCCCGAAATCGGGCGAACGCGCCTGGCGCAAAAAAGTTGCAACGCCCTGATGTCAGGATGTCGGTGCGATTTGTTGCATGACCCGAGGGGGCCTGTATCGGTGCCCATGCGCCTACTCCCTGACCTCTCCCAGGGTGCGTTCTAACCAAAATTTCGAGCCGAATCCAGCCGTGGCGACGAGGGCTTCCCGGGAGGCCCCAAAAAGGCAGAAACGAGGGCAGGTGGCATTTTCGCGGTAACTCATGGGGCCCCCCCATACCATCTTGCTGGCTCTTGCGAATCGACGGTAATCGATGCCAGTCGACGCTATCGGCGCTAAATCGGGGCGAATCGAGGCTGAGTCGATGCGAATCGGCGCCACCTCAGCGCCCTCCAGACGCTGATCGACGCAAAAGCGCTCCAAAGATAGAGTCGCGAGGGTACACACGGCTCCCATGATCTTCTGCCGAAGGCATCGGCAGCGCGGAACTGCTTTGGGCAATCTGGGCATGGAACAGCCGAAATCGGCAATCTGAATGCGAAACCGCCGGAATCGGCAATCTGACCGCAGAACCGCCCGCTGGGAACCACCCGAATCGGCAATCTGAGCGCGAAACATCCAGAATCGGCAATCCGAGCACGGAACCGCCCAGAGCGGCAGTCAGAGCAGGGAACCGCCTAAATCGGCGATCTGAGCACAGAACCGCCAGGTCGGCAGACTGAGCACGGAACCACCCAAATCAGCAATCCGAGCGCAGGAACCAGACCACCCCAACCCAACCCGAAGACCCGCATTTCGGGTTGGGGGGGGTACGGGCTTCAGGTGTGTGTTGTCCCATGTTCCACAACCCCCCCAACTGGAAATGGAGGGCAAATTGAGGCCTTCGGGTTGGGTTGGGGTGGTTTGGTGGGTGGTGAAAATCAGCAGTCCGAGCGCAGGACACCTTTTCCTGATCCTTGGCCACGCGCAGAAGGGATTGGGAGGATGGGGGAGGGCTTCTTACAAGGAGGCTGCTTCTCAGAAGGTGCCGGCCTTACATCCATAGAGAAGGCCCGCGCCTTCTCAGAAGCAGGGGTGCTTCGAAGAAGCCCTCCCCCCTCCCCCATGTACCTCCCTCTGCGCGTGGCCGACGAATCCTTGGGAGCCCCAGAGGAAGCCAGAGAGAGGAATCCTCAGGAATCCACGAGGGACGGGAAGCCCTGGGGAATCCTCGGCAAACCTTCTAAGCAGCCCTCCCCCCCTCTTGCGGGCAAGATTTATATCCATATTCAGTGCGCCTTCGATTTTTTTGGAAGGGGCGCCACAAGGCCGAGGTGCACTGGACATGGATAAAAATCGAGCCTCTAGGGGGCAATTTTATCCATATCCAGCGCGCCTCGGGTTTCTGGGGAAGGGAGCCTGGAATTCCACACTGCAGTGGATATGGCTTCTGGGAAAGGGAGCCTGGAACTCCACACTGAAGTTTTACACCCACCTCTGCGCGTGGCCGAGATCCGAGCGCAACAAAAACCTTTCCTCCACCGGCCTGCGGGCCAGCCGCCCCGAGCAGCGCAGCGCCCCGCCGGCGCCGCGGCCCGCGGCGGCGCGGTGCAGCAGCGCGGCCAGGCAGGCGCCGGCGGTGCCCGCGGGGCGGCCGTGTCGGAGGCCGGAGGCGCAGAAGGCCGCCGCGAGGGGGCGCAGGTCCTGCCGTCGCGAGCGTTAGGTCGGGCGAAACAAGGATACCAAAACAAATTCAAAAATAGTCCAAAATTAGTCCAAAATGAGTCCCCCTGCCGTCACGAGCGTTAAGTCGGGCGTGTCCTCCGACAGGCGGATTTTTTGGGCGAAGAAAAAAGGATATCAATCAAATGTTTAAAGAATACTCCAAAATAGTCCCAAATTAGTCCGCCGACTATATTTTTTTTCCTATGTTTGAGCATTCCTCCTGTAGAGGGACACGCCCGACTCAACACGAGCGGCGGGAATGGCCGTATCCGCGACCTCGCGGTCTGGATTCCGGGTCACGCTCCCGCGGATCCGCGGTCTGCACCACGAGAATACGCAGCACCCCGCCGTTGCGGACAAGACAGATGGGGGCGGGCGCGGGGAAGGTCGCGGGGCAGGTCGCGGGCGGGTCGCGGGCGTGTCGCCCGTGGGTCGCGGGTGGGTCGCGAGGAGGGTGACGGGCGGGTAGCGGGCGAGTGGCGGGCAAGGATGACGACAACAAACAACAACACCAACACCAACACCAACACCAACACCAACACCAACACCAACACCAACAACAACCACAACAACCACCACCACCACCACCACCACCACCACCACCAACAACAACAACAACAACAACAACAACAGCAACAACAACAACAACAACACCACCACCACCACCAACAACAACAACAACAACAACACCAACCCCAACAACAACCACCACAACAACAACCACAACAACAACCACAGCAACAACAACAACACCAACTACAACAACAACAACAACAACAACACCAACAACCACAACAACAACAACAACCATTTGAAACTGTTGGCCCTTATCTGCTCGAATGTACAAGAACGCCTATTTCCCAAACCCTCGATACCCGCCCTCTTCGTCTTCGATCGAACCCCTTTGGGGGGTATACCATTCTTCCCTGCAGGCTGGGCCCCCGCAAGCGGCGGGGCGGCCGCGGACCGTCGGCCTGGCCAGCGGCAGCGCTGATCGGCGGGGCGGCCGCGGACCGTCGACCCGACCCCAAGAGGGACGGACAGGGGACCGACGACGACGACGACGACGACGTCGAAGACGACGGCGACGACGACGTCGACGATGACGGCGACGAGCGAAAGCGAGAGCGAAAGAGAACAACAGCAGGGCCACAAGGACACGAAGTAGGCCACGAAGGGCAACAGCGGGGACACGAAGGGAATGCGTATGGGGCCACGAAGAGCGCGAACATGCGGGGGCCACGAAGGGCAGATAATGCGGGGCCACAGAAGGCAACGATGGGGCCACTGAGGGTAGCAGCTGGGCCACGTAGGACATATGCATATAGGGCCACCACGGTCGCGAACGAGCGGGGGCCACGAAGGGCATACATATATGGGGCCACGAAGGGCAGCGAGGGGGCCACGAAGGGATGCAACGGGGCCACGAAACAAAGAGAGGGGGCCACGCAGGACTGCAACGGGGCCATGAAGGGCTGCGACGGGGCCACGAAGGTCAGCGAGGGGGCCACGAAGGGCTGCAACGGGGCCACGAAACAAAGCGAGGGGGCCACGCAGGACTGCAACGGGGCCACGAAGGGCAGCGAGGAGGCCACGAGGGGCTGCAACGGGGCCACGAAGGGCAGCGAGGGGGCCACGAAGGGCTGGAACGGGGCCACGAAACAAAGCGAGGGGGCCACGAAGGGCTGCAACGGGGCCACGAAGGGCAGCGAGATCCCGATTCCTATGCAATCTGTGAGGGAGTCCTAAGCGTGAGCGCGACTCCTGGGTGCCAGGGGGTCGGGAGCGCGGCGCTTAAGTAAATTGCAGGAAATTTCAACGCAAGGGCGCTAGTCTTCAGTAAATTGCAAGCAAGTCTCCAGCGAGAGCGCGACTCCAGAGCGCCGGGAGAATGAATCCTAAGGAAGTCCCAAGCGAGAGCGCGATTCCTGAATAAAACGCGAGGACGTCTCGGGCGGGAGCGGGGGTCCCAGCTAAATTGTGAGGAAGTCTCAGGCGGGAGCCGTTGTTGTTGTAAACCGGGGGCCAACGATACAGTTTGACCCTCAAGACTTCCCCTGATAACAAACAGGGTGCGAGCCCCGGGAAGGTCACTTCAATCGAACAAAAACAATGTGCACCGGACGGAGGGTTAAAGAATAGTTATTCTTCAGAAATGAGTTCGACGACAACAACACCAACAACAACAGCAGCAACAACAACACCAACAACAACAGCAACAACAACAGCAAAAGCAGCAACCACACCACCAACAGCATTAGCAATCACAGCAGTAGCAAGAACAACAGCAACAACAACACTCACACAAGTCCTAACAACAATCACAACAACAATCGCAACAACCACAGCAACACCACCAACAACAAGCACCATCATCAACAACAACGCCAACAACAATGACAAACATCATGTCAAGACTGTTCGCTCTGATCTGCTCGCGTGACGTTCAACACGTATATCCTGAACCCTCGATGCCCGATCTCTTCGTCTTCGATCGTGCCCCGTCAGAGGTATACCTTTCTTACCTGAAACGTGTATATATTGCAGCCCCTGAGGCAGGGGAAGAAAGGACGGATGGAAGGAATGGACAAGGAGGAGGGAGGAGCACGAGAGAGAATAGCAGGGGGTGGCTAGGAGCAGAAAACACGTTACAGAACCCCAGGCGGGCAGATCGGGCTCGTAGAAACTAACGGGCGGGTGGGGAAGGCGGGCCCAGGCGGCCAGGTCGAGCAGGCGGGTTACTAAAGCGTGCATCCTGCATGAATGCGAAGAAAAGCGAGCATGAGTCGTCAGGCCATCCACAACGAGAGCGTGATTCCTGAGTGTCGAGGGCGCGGCGTTCGAATAAATCGCGAAGAAGTCCCACGCGAGAGCGCGATTTCTGCATGCATTGTGAGGAATACCTTGTGAGGAAGTATCAGACCGGAGACGCTGTTGTTGTAAACCGGGGGCCAAAGACATAATTCTGAGATCCAAGACTTTCCTAGATAAAAAACAGGGTACGAGCCCCGGGAAGGGTACTTCAATAGAAAAGCACAATGTGCCCCGGAAGGGGGATCAACAATAATTATTTTTCAGTCGTGAGAAGTCAACAACTACACCAACAACACCACCACCACCAGCAACAACAACACCACCAACAACAACATCACCAACAATCCGCACCGCAGAACCCCACTTCAGCCATGCGCCCGGGGACCGTTCGGCCCCTTTGCTCTGATATGCACGGACACCCTGCGACGAACTTTGCATGTGCCCTCAGGGAGGACGTCGGTGTGTGAAGTGGCTGGCTCTCCCTGGTAATTTCTACACCGCCACCCACCCCTGAGGCCAAGCAGGAACAACCCATTGGAAGGTGTCAATTCATGTGTATTTGTTTCTGGTACGTTCGGCGCGGGGCATCGGGGGAAAAAAACAGCGCCCCGTATCCGCGGGGTCGCGGCCGATACGGATATGTTATGTTCTCGCCTACAACCTCGGGAGGCGGGCCAAGCCCAAATCTCCAAAGACAGACGAGCGACGAGGACAATTGAGCCGTACGAGAGCCGCGGTCCGCTCGCGTCATAGAGAAGTGCTCGGCGCGGAGATCCCCAGATGTGCATCTCATTTCGGGGCACGTCCTGCTGGGACTTGTCGCACGCATAAGGTGGTACAGTGGAGGCCAGTCCACAAAAAACCTTCCACAAGAAACCCAGAAACCCAATCCTGAAGTCCCACGGCGTCCCTTGATTTGTGTATGTGGGAACGTCACGCTTTCTATCGCAAAAACATCGAAACCCAGCGCACCCTGGAGGCAAGCAGGGTGTTTCTTGGCATGGCCTCCACTGTAGAGGGAGAGGGGAAGGCTTCTTAGAAGGAGGCTGCTTCTTAGAAGGCGCCGACCCTACATCTGTCGACAAGTCCCGCGCTTTCTAAGAAGCAGGGGTGGTTCTAAGAAGACTTCCTCTCTCCCCCTACCCCACCCTGCGCGTGGCCGACGTGAGTGCTGGTGCAGCCAAGCTGCTGTACGAGGGAACGCTAGAGAAGGAATGTACCCCCACACTGGCACCAGGACAATCTGGGAGCGCGAGGAGGGCTACAAAACAACCACGGAATGTCGTAGGGAACCGCGAGCCCCTTCCGAACCCAAGCGGTCCTTGCTTCAATGCCTTGACTGTACGGTAAACTCTAATTAAAACTGTGCGTAGCCCGCCTAGCTTTTAGCGGAAGAGGCTCGCTCTCGCCCCGCCGACCAAAAACTGTACGGTAGGCTCGTGTGGCGTCGGCGTGCGCAAAATGTTTTGACACCACGTAGATCCGTGAACCTTGAATCGATCGCAACGCCGATCGTTCAAAAAGGAGCTCGGTCGGGCCCAGGGGCGTTACCGTGTCCATCGGTTGGGTGCTGCTAGAAGTGCCCCTGACCCAAGGTGCCCCCAGCTTTCCGCTCCACTTTGGAGCCCCCAGGGCACCCTGGGCCTCGTGAGGGGTGCGCTGGAGGCCGCCTGGGCCACCCCGAGAATCCTGGGTGTACCTTGGGCCGGGGGTACTTTTAGCAACACCCGAATCGGCGCTCCCGCGCCGCAGAATTCAGCCTCGAACGCCCCCGCAGGTCGTCGAGGGCGCGCCGACGCCGAAGCCAAGGATCCCAGACATGCGACGTCCAGATTTTCTAGGACGGCGTCCCCGGAAGTCCCGATCCTTCCCCCAGGACCAGGTTTTCGCCCCGAGTCGTGTTCTGACAGTCCCGGGGCCCGGCGAGGTTCCCCTGGGGCCGAAACTCATGAAAAACTTGCCGTCCTGATTTTTCCCAACCCTCATGTGCTGGGCACTCGTTTTGAATAGAGCAGTGTGGTCGCCCCGTCCTTCCTTCCTTCTCCTCCCCTCTCCTCCCCTCCTCCTTCTCTCCGGTTTCCTGTGTTCCCCTCTCCTCTCTCTCGTGCCGTCGGGCTGCGATCTGCGCAACTGTCGCCACTTTCGTGGGCTCCTGGGAGGCCCAGCGGAGGTGGGTCCTACGCGGATCACCTCGGTACCTCGCCGCCCCCTGGGGGGCTTGCGACCTGCGCAAATGTCGCCACTTTCGTGGGCTCCTGGGAGGCCCAGCGGAGATACGTCCCACGCGGATCACCTCGGTACCTCGCGGCCCCCTGGGGGGCTTGCGACCTGCGCAACTGTCGCCACTTTCGTGGGCTCCTGGGAGGCCCAGCGGAGGTACGTCATACGCGGATCACCTCGGGACTTCTTGCTGCGCTCGTCTGAAACCACTGCTGGGTACTCCTCCTGCGCACTTGCGGGTCCCTCAGAATGCCAGTCAGCACTGAGTGGTCCTGCGTAGGATCGACACATGTAAAATAGAAAGGGTTGTGTACGTCGCATGGTAAGCTCACGACGCGAGCATGCCTGGGATCCCTCTCGCTCGGCGGCCGAGTGGGCTCGATCTCGGGCCCGCTCGGCTGCCGCACGGGCCCAGACGCCGAGCGGGCTCGGGAGCGCGAGCCCCGCGGTCGGCCCCCGGAGACCGTGACCGCGCCTGCAGGCCATCACGCTGGGGCGACAGACTACGCCTTTTGGAGAGGGTCGGGAATGCCGTCGGCTGCGAGCGACGGGGGGGAGGCGGGAGGGAGCAGGCCTTCTCGGAGGGCGGCGGGGCTTCTCGGAAGCCCTCACGCCCGCCTTCTGAAAAGTGTTCCGCGCCTTCGGGAGAGGCTGAGACAACTTATCAGCAGGTCATTGGTAAATGCAGTGTTTCTTCTTCGATGACTACAGCTGGTTCTCTCAACGCCTTCTGGCGCTGAAGGCGACCATGTACGTACAAAGAAGGCGCCTGGCGGTCGGGCCGAAACCCGCTGTGTGCAGCAGCTGTCTTCCCCCTCGCCTTCTTTTTCCAATGCCCCCCTTTCGCCGGGCACGGTCCTCCAGGTGGACGCAGCCGCGGGCCTCCTCTCGGAGAGAGCGTCTCTTAGGCGTCGCTGTGGGAAGGATTGAGCGTTGTGTTACAGTCTGGCCCGTATCATAAGGATGCGCGGCGATGAGGATGCAAGGGTCTTGGACGCCCATTTCGGAGCTTTTCGATTGGGGCGCGGCCAACGAAAGTGGCCACGGAAGGATGGGATGGGCTGAGGAGGCAAGGATGCAAGGGTGCCCTTGTGAAGATTGCCCATCCTTATCGCGCGGATTGACCGTATCGCACGCGTGGTTTGTAATTTGATTGCCCTGGGAACCTCTGGAGGGCCCAGAGAAAACCTCCCGAGACCAAGAGGGGCCTTGAGACTCCAGCGTGTCCTGGAAACAGCAGAGACGTATTTTGTGCACACCGCCTCTAACACTCTGGCTCGTGAGCATGGCTCTGGACAACAGCGGCGCTGGAGCCTGAACTTGCAACAAGACTGCGACTGCATCTGACAACAAAACCACGACGACAGAACCGACAGAAAAACGGAAAAGGAAAAACATCTGCCCTGTCAACCGACAGACAAAACGGACAAGGAAAAACACTGCCCTGTCACTTCCAGGGCCCACTGAGCTCATGATAACTTCGGAGGGACACGATTTCTGAGGCCTCCACAATGGGGTCCGAGTAGATGGAGGTCGATGGATTGCGCCGCATCGCCGATGCATCGGCCAACTCGGCGATACATCGGCGACATCGGCGTGGAGGACGTCAAGCTCCACACCGAGCCGCATCGCCAATACATCGGCCACGCGGCGCGACCCGCAGACTCCATCCATCTACTCGAACCCTATCCGACAGGTCTAAAGACAACGGCCTCAGGACCTGGTTCCTTCAGGGCCCGATCCGCTTAAAATCGGTCCCCGAGTCTTGCGGCGGACCTAGTGCCCTCGCGGGGGCCGATTTGGGGGCGATACCTGCTGTGGTTGCTGCCTGCGCTTGGGGAGATCCCTGTGCGCAGCGCGCCGCTCAGCGCCGGGGAAACGAATGACTCGAGCTCGCCGGGCTTCTCGGAGGTTGATAGACCTCCTACCCTCACACGTCGAGTAGCGAATTGGCCGTTTTCGGTTCGCGAGAGGGCGCCGCGGCGGTCATTCTCTGCGGGTCCAGGTCCGCTGTTTCGGTCCCAGGCCATTTTCACTGAAGGGCGGTTCACGAAAAGGAGGTTTGTCCACCGCCGAGTTGCGGGCTTGCCGACGCTTGCCGGCGGGCCCGTCTTGGGTCTCGACGGTCCGGTTGTCGTGGGATGTCTGCTGCGGGGGCTCGCGTCAAGTTTCAGGCTGGGTCTCGTCATGTTCCCGACGGCCACGTCGGGCCAGCCCGAGTCCCCTGTACCCGAGGCTTACGTCTTCCCGATCTTAGAGTTCTCTGAGTCGCAACGCCTGCGCGCAGGAAGACGACTCGCTTTGAATTTTCATGCGCGGAGATCGGAGCGGGCGCGAAAGCAAGAAATCTCTAGGCCTCCCAAATGGGGTCCGAGGTTATGGGTTCATTGTCGAAATGTTCTACCGTGTTCGGCCCTCGGCGGCCGTTTTCGGGCCCAGGGACGGTCAACAAACGGATCCCGGGTGAAGCATTGCACCAGGTGGACCCCCGGGAGAGGTCCCGGGAGCTCGATGGCCAGGGGCGCACGCAGGGCAGCCGAGCCCAGGACTCGAGGCGTTTCTCCTCCTCCTCCTCCTCCGCCGCTTCCTCCCCCTCCTCCTCCCCCTCCTCCTCCTCCTCCTCCTCCTCCTCCTCCTCCGCATCTCGCTCCTCCTCGTCCTCCTCCTCCTCGGCATCTCGCTCCTCGTCCTGCTTTTCGTCTGGTTCTCGCTGCTCATCCTTCTTTCTGTCCTCCTTGATTGACCCTCTTCCTCGTCCGGCTCCCCTTCCTCCTCCTCCTCCACCTCCTCTTCCTGACTACCCATCAGACCACCCCAGCCCAACCCAAAGACCCCAATGCTGCCCGAATTTCGGGTAGGGGGGATACGAGATCCACATGTGTGTTTCCAGCGTTCCCCGAACCCCCTCCCCACTGAAAATGGAGGGCAAATCGGGGCCTTCGGGTTGGGTTGGGGTGGTTTGGTGGGCGGTGACTTCCTCCACCTCCTCCTCCTCCTCCTCCTCCTCCGCCTCCTCCACAATTACACTTTGTGAATACTACTCTCCTCTCCCCTGATGACGTCCGGAAGATGTCTGGCCCCCCCCCTCCGCGTGCTAATTTTTCCACATGCACAAGATTCCCAGGAATTGGGTTTTCGCTTGGGTTTTTTGTTTTGAAAAATGCTGCTCCCGCTGAAACGCTGGCCTGATTTTCGGGCTTCCGCTCGTTCCGAATCGTACTCCCGATGCAACGCTGGCCTCATTTCCGAGCTTCCGCTCGTTCCGGATCGTGCTCCCGCTGCAGCGCTGGCCTCATTTCCGCGCTTCCGCTCGTTCCGAATCGTGCTCCCGCTGCAGCGCTGGCGCCATTATTTCCAATGCCATGCCACGCCTTGCAATGCAATGCTATGTGGTGTTCCGCTGTGCGATGCCATGCGTTCAGCTGCAATGCTAGGATATGCAGTGCTTGACTACGCAATGCCATGCCATGCTGTGCCATGGTACGCTTTGATCTTCAACGCCATGCTATGCCACGGTCTGTTATGTGCCGCTGTGCCATGCCGTTCTTGCAACTGCAATGTTTTGTGATGCGCAATTATTCACTACACAACGCCACGCCATGCCATGACATACTACGCTCTGCTGTGCTCGTCTACGCCCTGCTATGCCGTGCTCTACGATGCATCGAGCACCCTCTCGGGATCATTGCCCTGCTCGACATCCAGCTGTGCAACCAGAGATAAGATCTACACCAAGGTAAGGGATGGGAGGAAGGGGTGGGACGCCAGATATGACGCGAGCGCACGCACCTAGCTTGTCCAAATCCTCTTCCTCATTCCTCTCCTCCTCCTCCTCCTCCTCCTCATCCTCCTCCTCCTCCTTCTCCTCTCCTCCTCCTGCTCAAGATGGCACTTCCTCCCCTACCTCCTCCTCCGCCTCCCGCGTCTTTTCCTTCTCCTCCTCGTCATCCCGTTCACGCTCCTCGTCCTTCTTCTCGTCGTCCTTGTCCGCCTCTCCCCCCGTTGCCCTCTTCCCTCCTCGCTGATTAATTCTCTCCTCCTCTTCCTCAAGAGGGAATATCCTCCCTCACCTCAACTCCCTCCTCCAAGCATCCATCTTGCGTTATCCCTCTTACATCTCTCCCCACCTCCCTCCTGCCCCCATCCCTCATCCTCGCTCCCCCTTCTCCCTCTGCATCCCTCGAAGGAGCCCGCGTCAGGAGCCATTACGCAACCAGAACGTATGCCTCCTCAAAAGAACATTCAGCCGACGATGTGCCAGGTACGCTCACGACAGGTGGGTTGGTTTGCTGACCAGCTGTCCTGGGGGAATTCATCGGGTCATGACTGGGCGTTGAAGCCCTGTGGGGAGGTAGACACGCCACCAAATGAAAGCATGTTTGGGCAACGCCGAACCTAATTGAAAAGAGACGGCCTGGGGATTGGGGGATGCTTTCGGAGCCGTCGGTATTCGAGCTGCGAGAAGAAAGACGATGGGTGGAAGGAGGAGGAGAGAGGAGGGAAGGAGGGAGGACCCAGGGATGGCGAGGAGGAGGGAGGAGGAGGAGGAGGAGGAGGAGGAGGAGGAGGAGGAGAGGGGAGGAGGAGGAGGAGGAGAAGGAGGAGGAGGAGGGAGGGAGAAGGAGAAGGAGAAGGAGGAGGAGGTAGGACGCAGGAGGGACCCAAGGGAGGGCGATGGAGGAGGGCGAGGAGGTCCCTGTCGAGGTCGCGGAAGGCCAGCAGCGGGTCCCCGGGCCCCGTACCCGCTGGCCAGGACGAGGCAGCCACGCCTGCAGCCCCGTGCACGTCACCTGGGGCTGCGCAGGGGGCCGGGGGGGGAAGGAGGCACGGGGGAAGGCACGACGAAGCCAGGACGAGGACAAATTCGGGTGAGGATCCTGCGGCTCTGGCTCCTCCCTCCTCCTCCTCCTCCTCCTCCACCTCCACCTCCTCCTCCACCTTCTCCTCAAACCCTCCTCCTCCTCTCCCCTCCTCCTCCTCCTCCTCCGCCTCCTCCTCCTCCTCCTCCGCTCCTCCTCCTCCTCCTCCTCCTCCTCCTCCTCCTCCTCCTCCCTCCTCCTCCTCCTCCTCCTCCTCCTGCTCCCCCTCCTCCTCCCACTCCTCCTCCTCCTCCTCCTCCTCCTCCTCCTCCTCCTCCTCCTCCTCCTGACCGGGTGAGGATTCGGGTGAGGATCCGGTGTGGATGATTCGAGAATCTCTGAGATCTGGCGGCTCTGGAAAATGTCTTGGGCGCCGCGGCCTTCTCAGCACGTTCCGGAACGCTCTGAGAGCGCTCCGGAACGCTCTAGAACGGATTTATATCCTCTTTCTTGCCCCGTCCGAAAGGGGAAGGGGGGGGGAACGGGGGAGTGTGACCTGACGGAGCCAATAGCCGGGCACATCTAAAAACATAAACATGAGCTTTCGGAGGTCCGAGCGGATTTCTGGGATTGGCGCGGGCAGCGACTCTGGCGCTGCCCCGGAGGGGGGGCCAGCGCCGATACAACAGCGCGGACCTCCGCAAGTTTATCTTCATGCCATTTCTTGTTCTCATTCCTCGACATAGAGGGGTGGCGCGAGAAGGGCGGGCCACCCTCTCGAGGGCGACGCCAAGTGAGAGAGCGGGCTGGGGGGAGACGAGCGGGGGGGGAAAGTCAGATGGGCGATGAAAAGAAACAAGCCTGCGAAAGATGGCACAGCGAGCTTACGCTGCGGCTTACGCGCGGTCGCGAGCGTGGCACGGCCGTACGCGGGCACAGTCGAACCCGTTTTTCGGCGTCGCTCAGATGGGGAAGGGGTTTAGTCTGGCGTGTCCCCCTACTGGCGGATTTGTGAGGAAGAATTCAAAAAAAAACTGAAGACATCCCCCAAAATGGCCCAAACATGACCTAAAAATCGTACCCAGGCTGTTCTTTGCCAACCTCGGAACATTCCTCCTGCAGAGGCACAGGCCGCCTGAAGGAAACGGGGCCCCTTGCCCCGCCCGCGTGTCAGGCGGCCGAGGGCCACGCGGCCCTCTGCACACCTGGCCTGGGAACTTGGCCGTCGGCCTCGACTAGAGGAAAAAAAACTATGCACATACACTGGTTCTGGCCAGGCCCATCCTGAGCCCAGGATCGGTGCATACGCCCTCCTACCTTGGCCAGGGAGGCATATGCACCGATCCTGGGTCAGGGATGGGCCTTGCCAGGATCGGTGCATGTGCATAGTTCTCTTCGCCCGATCGACATCCACTCAGATCTTCGCAGGCCTAGAGGTTGACACCAACACCAATATCGGCGGTGTGCTTTCACCGATAAAGACGATCCCGATCTCGGGGATGGTGGTAATAGTCTGGCTTCCAGGGTGGCCGCCGAAATGCTACCACCAACTCCGAACTCTTGGATCACCCTCCCCCTGCGGATGCAACCCCGGTGTTGCTGTTGGTGCCCACTTCCAGGCCTCCGAGGTGTTGCTCCCCGGGAGCCCCCGCGCCGCCAGATCCCGGGGGGCCCCAGCGCACCCGAGCAGTCCGCGCGGCGTCGGCCTCGCATCGGCTCGGAACGCGCTCCCCGGGGGCCCCGCGCCGCCCGATCCCGCGGCCTCCCCAGGAGGAGAAAAAGCACCGTAAACATGCACGGTCGGCGCCCCGCGCGGACTTCCTGGATCTGCGCTGGGCCCCCCTCCCTGGCGCGCGGGGCGCGCCGGGGGCAGCGCCGGAGGCGCCGCGCCGCCAGGGAGGGCCTGGCGCAGATCCAGGAATGGAGCAGGGACCGACCGTCCCGGCATTCCTGTAGTCCTACCACGAGATGTTGTTAGAACACACAAATGTTTTGAGAACAAAAACAAGGTTCTTAGAACATAGCCCCAATGTGTTAAACCAAGACAGTCCCAACCAGAAATGTTCTAAGAACATTTCGTGGGAACCACAATAAGTTCTTAGAACATTGTTTGGTGGGGCTATAGGCGAGCCGGGACGCTGCGCCACTGCTTGAAAAAAATCTGCGCGGAGCGCCAACCATTTATGTCGATGTGTGTTTATTTTTCTTCGACCCTTGGCCGGTGGTCTCCCCGTGGGGCTCCCGCGCCGCCCGATCCTGCGGCCTCCCAGCCAATGGCCCCGTGTTCGGTGCTCTCCCGCAGTGGTCACCGCCCCGCTGCCCGTCGGGTCCATGGCGGCCATCGCCCCGCGCAGCGAGAGGAAGCGGGCGCCGAGGAACCCGGCCAGTGCCAGTGCCTCGCTCGTGCACCGCGCCGGCGCGTCGGGCACGCTGCAGGCGGTGGTGGAGCTGCCGGACGCGCCGCCCCTGCGCGAGAGACTCTAGAGGCCTCCCAGGTGGGATCGAAGCAGATGAGGTCGGAGGGTCCGCTGCTTCGCCGATGTATCGGCGATGCACGGGCGATGCACGGGCGGTGCATCGTCGACGTCGGCGATGCATCGGCGGTATCGACGTGAAGCAAATCGGGCGGAACAACGAGCCGCATCGGCGATACATCGGCGATGCGGGGCGATCCTCCGACCCCATCTACTCCGAACCCATCTGGGAGGCCTAGAGCAAAAGAGGCAAGATGCGTCGGCATGCACCAGCACGGAGTCGAAACCAACATCGGATCGGATCGGCTGTACCAGGATACACAAGAACGACATGCAAGCGTCGGGCCGCATCGGATCGTCGGCATATCGGAGTCAAACCGGATCGGGCCGGCCAGAGTCGGCATCGAATCGGCATCGACCCGATCGAACTGGACCCTGGAGAGGCCGCGCACTGCTTCCCCAGGGCTCCCTGCGGAGCCCTCTCGGCGTGAGAGCCCGCTCGGCCGCCGAGATGGGATCGACTCGTGTGTGCACCCTGGATCCTCGTTCGCCTGGCAAGGGTGGTCAGACTACGCGGGGTCAGAGCCAGCGAACGGCAAACTAAGGAAAACTGGTCTTCTGAGAAGAGTACTGGCGTGGGCCGAGTATTTCCAGGGGAACGGCCCAGGAAAATGCAAGGACGACATCGCTGTTGATAAAACACGACCCCGAATAATGAAAATCAGCGACATTGAACTCACATGTTCCTGACCCCCGAAAGGCTGGCCCCCAGTAGAAGGCGAAGGAAATCCCCCCGTGGAGGCATCCGGGAGAACATGCGGCGAGGGGTCGTGGATCTTATGACCCAGGTCAACCCAGACCCGAGTCAATCAGGCCTTTCAGAATCCTGCAAGATCCTTCAACCACCTGCAAGATCCTGCACCCAAGCCCGGGCCAATGCGACCCTGTCCCTGCAGGATCCTGCACGATCGGGCGCTCTGGCTGACCCCCGTTTTCATGGACCCCCGTAGTGAGGCTCCCGAAGGGTTATGTTGCTCCCATCAGGGAGTGCGGCCACGAGGCTGCAGGCCCTGGCGAGGTCCTCCCCGGATCGGTGCGACGGTGGGATCCATGGCCGATCCGCGACGGGTGAGATCCATGCCGACTCCATGGCATCCAGACTCAGGAATTCTTGTCCAAGGGTCACTTATCCGATGCCCTCACCGTGCCCCTGGTAGATGAACTCACTTTGCAGCTTCAAGGGACCTCTTTCTGCCCTTTCGCTGACCGCGTCGAATCCAGGTCGAACGGCGAACCCCCGACGGATGAATTTACAGAGCAGAACATGTCCCCCGAGGACGAACCGCAACTTGCCCGTGGAAAACTTGCAGAAGGGATGGCAAGGGGTCAGCCAGGACCCCAATGCATTGTCTGGTCCGCCCCTTCCAGCGACGGTGGAGCGAGGGCGGGACTGAAAGAATGCCCCTGGCATGAAACGGACGGGTCCCGAGGGAAACAAGTCCTGGACCCCAGGGGCCTTCCCCCGAGACCAACTTTTCGTCCCGAATCGTGCTCTGCCACTCCTGGGGCCCGAGGAGGGCCGACTTCACGCAAGCCGGGCGCGCAGGGGGGGGTAGGGGGAGGGGGGAAGACTGCTTAGAAGCGGACCGCTGCTTCTTAGAAGCCGTGAACCTTGTCTGTAGATGTAAGGCCCGCGATCCGCGACTGCTCTGAGAAGCAGCCCACTGCTAAGAATCCTTTCGCCCTCCCCCTGATCCCCTCTGCGCGCCGCCAACGCCTTTCTGGCCTGCGCTGTTTGAGAGGGCGGCGGAACGGGGGGGGCGAGGGAAATGCCATGCAAGCAAACTTGCCTGCATCCACAGGAAAGAAACACCCTACCCTCAGATCTCACGGTGCAGAGCAGACTTCTGCGTCAGCTGTCGAGACATACAAGTCGGTAAAGGTCCCTGCGGCCCGAGATTGTGGGAAAACGCCCGCTGCGAACAAAACAATGCGACGCCATGGTCTCAGAGAAGCAATACACTGATTGTCAACGTCAGGGGGGACTGGCGCAGAGGGGAAACATCAAGCTGGAATCGGCGATCCGTCGCTGATAGATCGGCGATAGGCCCCCGATCGCGAGTCCGCACGTTCTGGGGCGGAGTGGGGCTATCAGAACACTATCCGCGATCATTGGGCGACTGGGAATCGGGGCGTCCCCCCTAAACCTGTCCCCAAGAGGTCGGAGGGAGGAGGAGGGAAGGAAGAGGAGGGAGGAGGGAGGAGGGAGGAGGAAGGAGGAGGCGGAGGCGGAGGTTAAGGAAAGGAGGAGCACAAAACTTAGCCCCGACAAAGACAGACCCGGGTTCCCGACGCGCCGGCCTGGGCGCGGCTGGGTCGCGCGCGGCGCTGCCGCTGTCGAGCGGCCCGCTGCCGACGGGCGACGGGGCCGCCTCGGAGGCGCCGCACCCGGCGCCCGCGAGCTCGCAGCGCACCACCATCTGCAGGAAGGGCTCGCCGTCGCACGCCGCGGCCGCGCTGCGCCTCCCGGCGGCCCACGGGACCGACGCTCCCTGAGATCCGGGCCCCTGACCTCATCCAGGAGGGCACCAGGGCCTCGACCTCCAAATTCTGGTCGAGGTTGGACGTAGTCCAGATTGGTCTACAAGTCTCGGGGGCTATGTTTTTTGCACTCTGGAAGGGCAGGATGAGATCCTGGCGCGTCGCATCGTTTTCACAACGGGCGCCTTCGCACGCTGTGGGGCCCCAAGGCCCTCACAGATCGATCTGGCTTGAAAAAGGACGCGGCAAGCTGGGAACTGGGGATCCTGTCGTGGTTTTCCAGGAGGTTGCAATTCTTGTTGCGTCGACGGGTCTCCAGGTTAGGCCAGAGTTCGGAAACAACTCACTCGTCAGAACGATTATCAAGTATTACACACGGGGCCACTGAGCCGAAATAGGCCGGATGAAGCCCAGGATCAAGAAGGACCAAGCGGGATGCAGCCAGACTAAACCGGGATTCGGCCAGATTCGGCAAGTTTTCGACCAGGGAAATACCAACGCTGATTCAGAACTTAGCCTCCCAGGAGTTGCGTCCTAGCGAGAGTGACCTCTGTTGCGCGGCTTCAAGTCCGATGCGGGGTTTTATCCACCCCCGCCTGGAGGATCGGTCTTGGGGGAACTCTGCAGGCGGTGGATAAAAACACACTCGAGCCCTTGGGTGGTCCAATACATGCATACACACCGGCTGCCGAGGTCCCCAGAATTGGATCCCCCAGGCAATGGCAATGAATCAATACCCGCCTTGGACTCGGGGGGCAAATCGGGGTCAAACCCAACCGCACATGCGCCAATGCTGGGGAGACCGCTGTGGGCCCGCGTCCAAAGGCCACCCTGGCGGAAGGTCACTCTTGCGTGCAGCCGAGCCTCTCCAGCCGCTCCGGCAGGTTCTGCAACCCGGCCACGTGCTGGCCTGGAAGGGGAGTTGCAACACTGCACGAGCAGAACGTGTCGGAGATCCGCGCGGCCATCTCGGATCGGCGCTGTGACGCCCCCCGTGGCGGCGCCTGTGGCGCCGCCCACGGCGCGCTCCGCGCGCGAGGGAGGGGGGTCCAGGATTTGAGCGTCGCTGCAAAGGGGGGCGACTACTGGTAGGGGGAGAGGTTCACTTTTCGGACCCTACGGGCACCCTGCTGGGCCCAAAAAGGGCTGCTTTCCTGGGATCGCCGGGGTGGCTGCTAATGGGGATGGGGGGGTTAGAAGTGGGTGCCAAAGTGGGCCTTTGCCAGGCCCAACCCAACTTAGAAGTGGGATGCAAGTGCCCCATGTGGCCTAGGATGACGAGGCAACTCCACTAAGTGGGCTCCGCACGGTTCGGCCAGATCTGCGCGCCCTTCGGCCACTCCGGGCACGTGCAACCCACTTCTAAGCTGTGTGAGGCTGGATAGAGCCAACCTTAGCATCCACTTGTGTCCCCCTACCCTCTTAGCAACCCCCGCGGGCGATCCAAGTAGGGGCCCTACAGGGCCCCTTTTGTGCAACCATCGCTGCCCCCTCAATTGTTGCCCCCCATGACGCCCGTCGACCCCCAAGATCTAGACCCCCCCCCCCGGGACCTGCTTTTCATAGCGAGTAAGCCTACTTGCGGTCTCGGGGTCTGGCGAGGGCCCCAAAAGGCCGCCTAAGCTGCCGGAACTCCCGCGTCATTGTGTCACGACGAGAGGAGGTGAGGGGCCGATCGCCGATCCAAGAAATCCGCGCGGACCTTAAATACCTTGTGTTCATGCTGTCTTCGGCGGCGTGCCAATTGGGGAAGGCAGAAAGCTTAGACGGCCTCGTGCTTTCTGACAAGCTTCATAAGCCTTCTCAGGAGCCACGGACAGCTCCTCAGTCGTCTAGAAGACTTCTGAGAAGGCCCGCCGCCTTCCGAGAAGGCCTGGCTCTCGGTCGGGATTTCGGGTCATTTAACTCAGGGCTCCGGCGGCCCTTGTGGGCGATACGAGCTCCCTGGGAACGCCCTCGCCGAGGCGCATCTGCTGGAGGGCATACCGAGGCTGGAGAACCGCCACGAACCCCCGAACGCGCCCGAAAGCCTCGAACCTCGAACCGCCGGTTGTCTGGGTACCTCCTTGATGGGCCCCTTTTCCGCCACCACTACCATAGGGAGGAGAGGGAGGAGGAGGAGGAGGAGGAGGAGGAGGAGGAGGAGGAGGAGGAGGAGGAGGAGGAGGAGGAGGAGGAGGAGCTCCTCATCCTCCCTTCTCCCCCGTCCTGCACGTGGTAGCTGTGGTGGGACATTTGCCCATCGCTCCTGGCGCCCCCCGGCCGCAGCCCAAGGGCGCAAGGTCGTGCTGTGGCGGCAAACTCGGCTGTGGACAAATCTCCCCTCAGTAAACCACCCTCTCGTGAAGACGGCCCGGGACCGACACCGACGGACCTGGGCCCGCAGGAAATGACGGCCGCGACGCCCTCTCGCGAACCGAAAATGGCCAATTCGCTGATCGACGTGTCAGGGTAGGATCGAGCCGGGCGAAAGGGGGGGATAGCAAAGGGGGGGTTTGACAAACAGCTCACGTAGCTGATTTTCCCGGCGCCTCCGGGCGCCGGGAGGCGGCCATGTATCGAGGAATGGGCCCCTCGGCGGGGCCGAAGCCAGCTGCATGCAGCAGATTTTGTAACCCCCCTTTCCCACCCCACCCCCTTTCGTCCGGCCGATGGGAGCCCTGTCCACCCCCGAGGAGGAGGGGGAGGGGGAGGGAGGGAGGGAGGGAGGGAGGGAGAGGGAAGGAGGGAGGGAGGGAGGGAGGAGGAGGAGGAGCAGGAGGAGGAGCAGGAGGAGGAGCAGGAGGAGGAGCAGGAGGAGGGGGAGGAGGAGCAGGAGGAGGAGGAGAGGCCTGTCCACTCCCGACAGGACACCCTCGGCGCGCCGCCGGCCGTTTCTTCTCTCCCCTCCGGCTGGCCGAGGCGGGCCAGCAGGCGCCTCCGCTCCGCCGCCTGCGCGCCCTCCAGCCGCCGCACGGCCACCTCGGCGCGGGCGCGGGCGTCCTCACACTCGCGCCGGACGCGCAGCTCCTCCCGGGGGGCGGCGAAGGGGGCGTGTGGTTAACGAGATTTGGTTCGCATCACTTGGAAGGAACTACAGCGTTCTCTCCTCTCCAACCTGTTCCTCCCCTCCCCCTGCTCTCCTCCTCCAGCTTCTGAAAACGCTGCCCCAAGACTTGTAACACAGCGCATCGTCTGACAATGATCTCGAGGCGGATCCAGTCGCGGCAACGAGGACCCTCTATTCGGGCGTTGGTAGAACTGGGTTTAGTGGAACCTGGTTTAGGGATCTGTACTGGGGGCGAACCCCCCCGTCCCATGTCCACTGACCGGAAGTGCCGTCACCCGACAAAACACCATCGGGGATGGACAGACCCCCCTTTAGTAAAACGTGGTTTAGTGAAAACGACCTGAGACCCGAAGCTGGCGGACGCAAGCCTGGAAAATAACGGCCGCGGCGCCCTCTCGAGAAACGAAAACGGACAATTCACTAATCGACGTGTCACTGTTGGGGGTTTTGTCTGCCCCCGACACCAGCTATGGCAAACCTGGTTTAGTGATTCTGGCCAATTCGAAGGCTCCGGGGCCCTACCACTAACCGGGTCCCCTTACCCGGGGTCTTGGCCATACCGGGAAGAGGGGGGCGTGCCGGGCCCGAGCGTCCAACGCTGGGACGCAGAAAGCCACACACACCAGTGCGGTGCGAAAGTCTAACCGCGCTAACTGGCACCTAGCCCACCTGCATCTGGCACCTAGGATTCAACCCTCCTGGGGCTCTCATTCACTTGCTGGGGGGCATGGGATCTAATGGAATTGAACGCGCGATGGGGGCTAAGATCGCATGGATGGGCTAAGATCACATGGAATCCAATCTGCGGGGGAACGCGCCAGGAAATAATGTCGAGTCAAATATGACTTGCTCCTTTCTTCCTGTTCCTGCTCCTCTCTCTTCCTGGCCCCTCCTCCTGCTCCTCCTCCTCTCATTTAATAATTGAATATGCGCTTGCCTTAATTGAATAGCGCATGCCTTAAGAAGGCATTGACCCCTCTTTCTTTTTTTTTTGGGGGGGGGGGGCAGCGAGGGCACTGGCGTGGTGTTGCTAAAGCCCGCCGATGGAAAGCACAAGAAGATGATTGACGCGTCGTCTTGTTTGCCTTTGAACTCGGTACTGTTTCTTGCCCCTAGCCTTCGGGTATAAAAAGCATGGTAGTCGTCTCGTCGTCAGGGGGAGGCTCCTCATCCTGCTCCTCCTCCTCCTCCTCCTCCTCCTCCTCCTCCCCCCCCCTTTCCTCCCCCCTCTTACTCCCTATCTATGTCTCTTCCACCTTTTCTCCCAAATTCGCTGCGGCAACCAGGCGCCGTCTGTCCGCTTATACCTTAGCTCCGGCGGCGCCCGCGGCGGCGGCGCCCCGCCGAAACTTAGCCCCCCGCCTCCCTCTCGCCCTTCACGCGAGCGCACCCGCGCTCGAAGGCCACGGTGACGGCGGCCCCCCCCAAGGGCAACTGGGCTTCGTCGAAGCCTGGGGGAGGGGGGCAGCAGCAGCAGGTGAGGGGGGGAGGAGGAGGAGCCAAGTTGGGGGGGGCGAGGAGGACGAGAAGGAGGAGGACGAGGAGGACGAGGAGGACGAGGAGATGGAGATGGAAGACAGGGGGGACAGCAGCAGGGCCCCCCCCTCATCACTCTGCCTGGAACGAACTACGCCCCCTCATCATCTGCCTCCTCCTCTTTTTCCCCTCCTCCTCTTCCTCCTCTTCACCTCCTCATCACATCATCGTCCCCCTCATCGTCTTCCTCCTCCCCCGCCTCCTCCTGCCCGTCCACTCCTCCTCCCCCCCTGTCCTCGTCATCATCCCCCTTGTCCTCTTCCTCCTTATCCTCCTCCCTCCCCCCATCCTCCTCCTCCTATTTCTCTTCCGACCCCTCACGTTCCTGCTCCTCCTCTTCCCCCCTCTCCTTGTCCTCCTCGTCCCCTTCCTCCTCCTTCTCCTCCTCCTCCCTCCTCCTCACCTCGTCCTCCTCCCTCCTCCTCCTCCCTCCTCGTCCTCCTCCTCCACCTTGTCCTCGTCCTTCTCGTTCTCGCCCGCGTCCTCGTCGTCGTCGCCCTCCTCCTCCTCCTCCTTCTCCTCCCCCCCCTCCTCCCTCCCCCTCCTCACCCCCCAGCCACCCGCGAGCCCTGGTGGCGCCTGCCGCAGCCGCATGCCTTAGCGCCTCGCCCTCGTTCTCCCAGAGCTTCTCGAGTTTCGCGATGTCCTCCATGGCGCGCGAGTTGCCAGGTGGGAGGGCCTGGGGGCGGCTCGCGCGCACGAGGCGCACCGCTTGCTCAACCCTCATTAGCCCCATGGCGCAGAGACACACAGCAGCCACGCACGCCGACCGGTACTCCCCCTGGCGGCAGAAGATGAGCACCTTAGCCCCACGCGGCGCCGCAGCCAGGGTTCTTATCGCACCCCTCAGCTGCTGCGCGACCCCGTGGTAATTCCACGATGCTGGCAAGTGGACTGGGTCCCTTAGCCCTGCCGCCCACTGCCGCACCCCGCCTCCAGGCCCGGCGCCGAGGCAGTCCACCAGGATGTCCCAGTCCAAGCTATTAGCCCTATCCTGCACAGCCGCCACGCCGCCGAGCCACCAGTTCATGCCCCACCCCGTCAAGAGCTTCGATGGAATGAGATTATTCGGATAAGTCGACAGCCAGTGCACGCGCGGCAAGGTCGCGAGACGGCGGTCTTCCTCGACCACCGCCGCCCACTGGCGCCGCCGGTGCTCCGCGCTTAGCGCCTCCAAGACCCGGGTCTCCAGCTGGTCCTCGCGAGGTGGCCAGGCAGGGGGGATGATGTCTAGCCCCAGGTTTGTAGCAGGCGGCCGGCCCATCCTGCCCCCACTACCACCCCAGGTTGTTGGTAGCAAGCGGCCTCTGGGGGAGGAGGGGCCCAGGGTTAAGGGGGAGCTACCTACTACCAGCCCCCCCTTGTCTTTCCCAACCAGCAAGTCCTGCTGCGATTGCGGATCGGACCACCCAGGCACCGGGGCGTCGCCGATCAGCATGTCGTACGCCACCTTCTAGCCCGCCCAACGAGCCGCCGCCCCCCCCTGCCTCGACCCCGCGCCACCGCCAACCGCCATGGGAGGCGGGGGGGGGCGGCGGCTGCTGCGGGGGAGGGGGGGGGGGGGCGGCAGTGATTATTAGCCCCAGCAACAACGCCTTCTCGAGCGACGCCTGCGCGCCACCAGTCGCCGGCAGGCCCAGCAGCGCCCGCCCAGCGCTGCCCACCTGGGCCACAGGGAGGGCAGGGCGAAGAAGCAGCCCGCCGCCGCCACTGCTGCTCGCTGCCGCCGCCAACCGCCGCCGCCGCCACCACCACCACCACTGCCGCCCCGCCCCAGTCACTGCCGCTCTGCTACCGCCACTGCCGCCGCTCCCGCCACCAGTGCCGCCGCTCCAACGCCACCGCGACTATTGCCGCCGCCCTCTGGCCGCAGGTGGTCTGTCTACTAGCGAATCCCACCGGCCCTTTAGGGCGTAGGTGGCCTAAAGAGTTTCCTCTTCCAACCTCCTCCTCTTCCCCTTGGGAGGGTTTTTTTTACCCCTCCCCCTCCTACCCCCCCCCCTCTGGACCTGGTTTTTTACCTCTCCCCCTCCCCCCCCCCCCCTGGACCTATACAAACTTATATATATATATATATATACATATATACATACTCATACACATGTATAAGGCGGCAAGGGTTTGGCCGATTCTTTAGAGCGCCAAAGATTGCCCAAGATGGCGAAAGGACGAGGGCCGCCAGTGATGCCCCCAGATGGCCTCCTCCTCCGTCCCACCGCACCGCAGATCGCCAGATATGGCTTCCAACATGCTCCGAGGTGCCCTGCCTGAGAAATGTTGTCGCGTACTTTCAGGGCCCTCCTCTGAGAAGCAATGTTTTATTTTGCGTTCCCGCTATGAAAAATATTGATATTATTTAGTCAAAGCCGCCCAGGAAGCGAAATCGATCGTCCCGGAGAGAGAAGTGTGCGTGTGTGTGTGTGTGTGTCTGTGTCTGTGTCTGTGTGTGTGTGTGTGTGAGAGAGTGTGTGTGCGTGCATGCGTGCGTGCGTGCGTGCGTGTGCGTGTGTGTGTGTGTTTGTATGTGTGTGCGCGTGCGTGTGCGCGTGCGTGCGTGCGTGCGTGTGCGCGTGTGTGTGTGTGTGTCCTGGGTGGGGGGTGGTGTGTGTGTGTGTGTGTGTTTGTAGTTGTGTTTGCGTGTGTGCATGTGTGCGTGCGCGCGTGTGTGCGTGTGCGTGCGTGGGGGGGGGGGGGGGGGGGGGAGGGGAGGGGGGGGGGGGGGGGGGGGGGGGGGTGGGGGGGGGGGGGGGGGGGGGGGGGGGGGGGGGGGGGGGGG